AAATGTACCCCAATAATATAAAATAAAATATTATTATTTAAATACTTACGGAATATCCCAAAAGTAATTATATACTGATTCTAAACTTGCAAAATTTTCTGTCTTATTATTGTAATACTCTATCATATTTTTATGGTTACGAAGTATTATATTTAAATTTGTATTTATCAAATTGTTCCTTAGTACCAAATAAAAATAGCAAGAATATTTTGAATTGGCTGATTTATAAGTTAACAAAAAAGTACAGGCCTCCGCCAATCACAAATTATCATAAAAATTCTTGAAAAAAATTAAATAGTATCACTGTTGACTTTAAAATCAATACCATTATCACCTTCAAATAAAGATTCCAGTAAGAATTTTAATGTATTGTGAAAAGTTTCACAAACTAATTTCTTAAATTCGAAAGATTTTTTTCTAATTTATCTTTAGCAGATAAAATTGAAAAATAACCCAATAATTATTTAGTATCTTCTTTATTTCTTCGTCATATTGAAATATTGTTAAGAGACATGTAAATGGGAGATAATGAACTCTTTCCTAATGTATTGAGTGCAGTAACATCTGAATAGAGGATGATTAACAAAATATGTGCTAAAGGTAGAATTGAACCTTCTACATGTTTCTACCAATTTCTAGAATTTTACTTTCCATATGATTTTTTCCCTTTGGTCTATAATAATATGTAAATATTAATTATATTAATTTTAAAGTAAAGATATACAAATTTTTTAAAAAATTTTAAAATTTTATCATCAAATCTTTATAATCATATACAAAATATTTGATTATGTCTGAATTTGATAAAAGATTTTTAATACAATTTTTGATTAAATAATAATATATAAAATATTCATTATAATTATAAACAAGTATATGATATTTATAATTAACTAAATGTGATAAATTCATATCATCTATGAATTTTCAACTAACAAGGATATTTTTAGGAGTGGAAGAAATAGATAAATTAGAATGCTTGTTAAAGAAATTTATAATTTCGTTATCAGTTTGATTATTTAGATTATGTTTAGTAACAAGAGTCATCAAGTCAGTATAAGTTTCACATGGAAATTCTTTAACATTTTTAATTTCGGGTTCTTCTTCAAAACTTCATAAACTCGAAGGTAAATTTTCATATCTTTCTGAAATTGAAAGTGATATTAATAAAACATCACTATCATACTCTTAAAGATCTTGTGAATTTTCTCTCATTTTGAAACTTGACATCATTTCTTCTTGTCTTTCACTATCTACACTATCTTCACTATTTTTACTATATTTATTATATTCACTGTTTTCATTATCTTCACTATCTATTGTCATATCAGTGACTTCTGAAATTATTTTCAAGACTTCATTGTTGGAATTGTTAGAATTGTTGAAATTGTTAGATTCTTCTGTACTAATATCATACTTAACAATGTATAAATTTACATATTGGACATTGTTAACCTTAGTTCACCTTCTAAAGAAACCAAAGAAAACTAAGCAACTGGTAGTGGAAATTGTATTTATAGATTTTAAACACTATAACAATTAACTACAGCCGAACGGGTGTTACTATTGATAAAGTAATGATAAGAAGGATTTGGGTAAGGCGGGTTTGGTCGAAAGAGGCTAAGGTGTGAGGTTTTATAAGGGATTTACTAGCTAAGTCACGAAGACAACAAAGTTTCACTAAGAAACTAAACAAATTAACGAAGAACTTAATAACTTAACTTAGATCATAAAACAGGGTTAATTATTAAGTGACTGTAATACCGAGATCACAAAGCAGGGTATTATTAACTAACAATTACTCTTATCACCAAGAAGAGAGTAATAATAACAGAATTGGGTTATTTTTTCAATTTTATCTGCTAAAGATAAATTAGAAAAAAAATCTTTCGAATTTAAGA